GAACAAGGTGGCCGAATTCTACCAAAGCCATTTACAGGCTGTGGACACAGACCCATGCAAGGCATCGTCACGCCGGCAAATGGGGTAAACGTTACACAGGCAGCCGAAACCGGTTAGGCTGAGTGGATACAGCGTCAGCCTGCGGACTGAAAGGTCCCAGGTTCGATTCCGGTCAAGGGCACATCCCTGGTAAGAGGTGTGCAGGAGGCAGCTGATTGATGTCTCTCTCATTGATGTTTCTAACTCTCTATCCCTCCCCCTTCCTCTCTGTAAAATATAAATATATATATTTTTAAAAAGTTACACAGGCGCTCTCTGCATTCTACTTTACAATTACATGTGAATCTATAATAGTCTCAAAATAAAGGGTGTTTTTAAAAAAAGAGATAAACTGTCTAGATAGACAGTTATTAATCACTAAGTTTTATTTGGAACTAGTAAAAAAAAAAAAAAAAATCCCTTTATCCTTTTGTTACTTCCTATCCCCTTTGGGACCTACCAAGGGTCTCCACGAGTGGAGGCAGCTCTGAGCCTTCACAAAGCAGCCTGCCCCAGGCTCCAGGGTGGCCCTGAGGGGCCCGAGGAACCAAACCACCCCACCGACTGCCTTCTCAAAGCCTGCATGTACCGTGAGCTTAGAGAGGAAAAATGAAAAGCGTACTCATAGGCTTATGAATATTTAAGATGTTTATAAAATGAGGTTAATTACTTTCACTCTCCTAAGTCAACAAAAGCAACCAGAGGAGGAGGTTTCACGGAAATGATGTGATGTGAGTGGGAAGAATCAGGTCCGGCTGCTAAGCGCCACCGCAGAGGCCGGCTCCTCCGTCTGCAGGGCCCGCCCATCCAGCCAGCACATAAGGCCAGCCACGGTCACATTGGACATTCTGCTAGTAGCCATGCTTAAAAAAGTAAAAAAGAAACACGTAAGATTAATATCAAAAATACATTTTATTTAATGGCCAACAAACACACACATGAAAAGATACTCAACATCACTAATTATTACGGGAACACAAACCCAAGCCATCATGAGATACCACCTCACATCCATTGGGATGGCTACTGTCAAAACACGCAGAATAACCCATGTTGGTGAGGATGTGGAGCAGCTGGAACCCCATGCACTGCTGGTGGGAGTGTAAAATGGTGCAGCCACACTCCTCAAGAAACTAAAACCAGAACCACCCTATGATCCAGGAATCCCACTGGGAACATGCCCGAGAGAAGTGAGAGCAGGATCCTGAAGAGGCATTTGCACACCTTTGCTCTTAATGGCATCATTCCCGATAGTCAAGAGAGGGAAGCAACCCAAGTGTCCAGCGACGGGTGGATGGCTAAAGGAAATGTGGTCTCCACATACCATCCAGCCTGAAAAAAGAAGGAAATTCTGACCCAGGGCATTTTGCCGAGTAAAATAAACCAGTTACAAAAGGACAGATTCTGCAGGATCCCGTTTAATAGAGGAACCGAGAACAGTCAAAGTCAGACACCGATAAAATGCAGGCTGCCAGGAACCCAGGGGAGTGGGAAGTGGGGCGTTACTGTTTAGCAGGCACCATTTCAGTTTACAAGATGAGTAAGTTTTGGGAGTTGGTTGTACAACATTTGAGGATTTACTTTTAACAATACTAAACTGGACACTTAGAAAAGGTTACGATGATAAGTTTTATGAGTCTTTTTACCCCAATGGCATTTTTATAAAACATTTTACCCATTGTATTCAAAATATCTATACATACAATTAGTATGAAAATGCCAGGGCTATTTCGCCCTCTTGTTCTTGGATAAGCCTGAAACTCCCATGTGACCGGAACTGACTAGTCCTGCCTGAAGGTTCGATGCCCACCTGGGCTCCCTGCGAACCTGTGCTGAGTGAGGCTTTCCCTGTCACCGCTCCCTGTCACCTGCTGGCTACCTCCATGTAAACTACAAGAACCTGAGGCCTTCTCCTCGGACAGGTTACTTGTCCAAGCAGCTCTTTGGAAAGGCTACAGGCAAACCCTGAAGGCCAGGGAACACCTCCTGAGCATCCCTCTGCCAAGCCCTCAGGATTCGCACAACATCGTGCCTCCGCCCCTCAGAGCTCACACACTGAGAGGGGAGCGAGCAGGACCCTGAGGACACAGGGGACACGGCTCCCACGTGCCCGGAGGAGAATCAATGTTGTCATTTACCAAAGTGACACGTGGGAGTTCGTCACTAGCTTTCGCCCTTATCCTCACCTTTCTCAGCTCGTACTTTCAACAGTACCGACTGCACCTTCAAAGCGTGACTCTGTGCGGCATCCCGTGCACGGTTTGTGTGAAGCACATCTGGTGGAAGTGTGCGCAACAGGAAGGGCACTCAGCCACCAGCAGCCGTCAGCGACTCTGATTAAAATCATCCTTCTTCCCTGAGAGAGCATCTGGCACTCCATCCTCCCGGGGTGACAGGAGACTAAAATTGGGCACGTGAACAGTGATCTCTCACAGATATTCTCTGAACACAGCATCAGAAAACGGCTCGGAGACGTGGAGGAGAACGTGAAGGTGTATCTAGCTGCTGTGCGTCCCCCACAGAGGGCACTTTCTCAGCAGAAAAAGTTTCAGGAACAACACTAATATACGCTGTTCTCCACCCCAAGTCTCTGAACAAAAACCGTCTATGGACATGGGTGCCGCTGGGTAAGGAGAAATCCCCCCTCCCCTCCTCCAATAACCTCACATTCGTGCCCACTGGAGAAAACCACCACAAAGACTTCTTTGTGGAAAACGTATTTTGCAATACATTATCAAAAAAGCTTCACTGACGATCTTAATGGATGTGGCTGAGTAAGGAATAGTGAATAGAGCCCAAAAGAAAAGAACCAAGTCTACCAACTCAGCAAATTTCAGCGGCCTTCAGGAACCGAACTACTTCACCAATATCCAGGAAAATGTTCTGCATCACAAGATGGCAAATGTGATTCCATGGAATGGACTCTCATCTAACTGTCCTCTTCTCCCACCAGTCTCCAGGATGCCCTCCCCAGCTCAACTCATCTCCCAAAAACTAATCCTGAAAACTTATCTTGGTGCATTAACTTCAAACAAACTCTATAATTTATCACTTAATCCTATGTATTCTGTTACCACACTAACCTACTGAAGTGTAGTTACTATGAAATTACCCCTCAGGACCCATCACTGCACTCCCAGGCATAACCACAACTTTGCTTAGTAACTGAGATTGTGATCTCTGAGGCCCTCCATCTGTCACCTCAAGTAACGGTGCATATACCTTATAATTAGCTTGCTAAAGAACATGTCACCAAAAAAGCAATCATGCCACCCTTACATTCAAAATACACTAAGTGGCCCGTACCTGGTTGACAAGGAGAAGAAACCATTCCTGTGCATTAAGCCGTGAGCACCTGCAGAGACTGGTTTGGTCTGCAGTGAAACACTGTAACAGCTTGTGAAGGCTCCTTAAACCCATAGGCTATTAAACACACACACACACACACACCAATGAGCCCTGTTAATTCACTTAGTGAGCAAGAAAGCTGTGGGTTTGTGTACTCAGGATTATTTTCATGGGCAGAAAACCATTTGCAAGCACCAAGAACTTCCAAGGTTGGAAGGAGTTTAGGAGCTGTACCAGTACCAACAGCAGTAACGAAAGGAATAGCAGTAATAAAATTTCTGGCTCCTTTGCCTGAGGAGGTCCTAATAAAGTACAGTGGTCGCTTGGGACCCTGGGGGATTGGTCCCAGGACTCCCGTGGATACCAAAACCCATGGGTGCTCCAGTATTTGCATGCAGGAGACAGCAAGGTGTGCCTGCACATCACACGCACATGGATTCCGAGCAACATTCGGCACACACAGCAAATTTGAGTTTTGCTTTTTGGGACCTGCTAAGTTTTTCTCCTGACCAGGCCCCCAAAAAATTTTCCACCTACAGTTGGTAACCATGAAACCGGTGAATACAGAGGGCAGACTCTATCACTCAAGATTTAGCACGAGACATGCAAGCAAATGTAGCTGCTGGCGTTTTTGTCATTTGTGCCTGCCACGTCCCCGGTGTGCATATCCTCCGACAGACAAGTGACCAACCCTCCAAGGTCTCTCTCTGTGACATGGGGACAGACCGGCACAGTTCTCACCTCACTGAAGGTTATGAAGACTAAGACCTATGGAATTTGCAAATCAAGATTTGTCATTGGCTTCCAGCAGTTAAGGATCTCCTCTGGTGACTTTGTGTCCCTGATGTTTTCATAGAATCAATATTCAATTTTTTAGTCGATAATGCTGCCACCTTGGTCGTATATGGTCAAAGCAGGAAGGACTAATCTGGAGCAGAGGTAAAGGAGTACCCGCTGAACCCTGATGAAGAAACCAACCTTTCCCATCCGTGGGGGACAGTGATTCGAACCCACACACTCATCACCCCTTTGCTGCCTGTACTCAAAGCCACAGGCCAAGGGTGGAGGGTCTAACCAAGCCTCACTGCTGTACTACCGGTGTTTCTGAGCCTTGATTGCCCTCCTCATTCAGACCCTAAAACTATCTTTCATCCCTGAAATAAAAACCATAATCGAATCTCATTAGGACCATGTTAAAACTCTCTGAGCCAACAAAATAAGCCCAAAGAATCTGAACAGAAAACTCCGTGTTCATGGTTCTGTGCTGGCACCGTCAGTTTGCTTCACCTCTTCACACTCTGGTTATGTTAAACTCCCTGCTGTAACTGCCTTGAGTCCTTTCCAAGTGGAATGTCATTAGTAAGTAATTAGTGAAAAGAACTTGCCATGTCACACAGTGACAGCAGCAAAGGACTCCAGCTTTGCTGCCCAAGAAGCTGATGTGTGCACCTCAATTTAATGTTGGTTTGATGTCTTGACACCTCCTCCATTCCTATCTAAATGTGGACTAAATCGGTGAAAGGGTTCTGAAATGAGCTGTGAGTGCCACACGCTACAGCCTCTCAGTAGTCAGCCAGCCACAAGTCCACTGCCCCTTCCCCAGAACTGCTTACCCATTGCATTGAGATAATGGTTGAAGGCCTGGCAAGGAGGACTCGGGGTTTGTGTTGATTTGTCACAACTCATGGGTGCTGGGCTCCTGTCTGTGTCAAAAGAGAAATACCCACTGGAGGATCGAGACAGCAGGGAGGATCTTCTCACAAAGATGAAAAGCGGGGATCTGGTAGCAAAAGGCCCAGGGCTGGCCGGTGGGGCCAGCGGGCCCTGAGGGCTGCCGTGCGGGCAGCGGTCCCCTTCGCCTTCAGGATTACCTTGTGGCTCTATCTGTACAGAGCTGGGCGCCCCAGGCCTGAGCTGAGGAGGCCTCTCCGTGGGCTGTAATTGTCCACCTTCTCTGTCACACTCAGAACTTACATCAGAAGGTTGCTTTGCCATTTGGTCTTTTTTTCTGCAAATAAAATAAAAACTAAGATTACCTCAAGCAACATAATCACAAGGAATAACTGAATTAGCTAACGTTCATGTACGCATTAGAAATTAACAAATACTTCAACAGTAAGTGCATTTCTCTGACCACCTTCCAGATAAGAATAAACACATAGTAAAGTAACAAAGGCATTACTATTTGTATTGGGGGCACTGAACTTCCTGCCACCAAACAAAACACAGTGACAACATCGATGACTGGCTGGTGCTGGAACACATATTCAAGTTTTGGGGGAGGCAGCGGGTCTGAAGCCTATTCACAGGGCTCTGCTCAGAGCCCACCAGACTAAGCCAGAACCTCCCGGGGATTCTGATTCCTTGGTTCCCAGGACTAGACCCTGCGCTTGGGGCACAGGAGTGCGCGCAGAGGCAGCAACTGCAGCCGGCTGGCCGCGCTCCCTGCTCCGGCCCCATTGTTCTGCCGAAAGTGCTGAGGGCAGCAAGTCTGGGAGCTTTGGCAAGGGCCGTCGGTCGTAGTAAGTGCGTCACAATAGAGTTTGTAACTCTGAGCCGCTCGGCCCGCGCCGCTCGCGCCTGTCCCTCCGAGGTCTTCCCCGCGGGGGCAGCGCCACGCACCCGCCGGGCAAAACTTCCCCCAAGTCCACCGGCACTGTTAGGTGAGCACTTCCAAATAGGGGGTCCCCGAAGCTGGCCCCGGGAGCCCCGACAAGTTAGCAGGAACCCCGCACGCTAGGCGACCCGGGGCGCACGGTCCCTTCACCCTTAGATCCTCCCTCTCCCCACGAGTTTAAGCTGAAACTCACGTCCGACCCTTCCCCGCCGAGTGTCGTGTCCGGGCCCGGGCCCTGCGGCGTCGTGCCCGCACCCTTCGCCGACCCGGAGCCCCCAGACCGTCCCCGCGAAGGCGGCGCGCCACACAAAGCCAGGGGCCCGCGCTCAGAGGCCGCGGGGCGGCGCAGAGCCCGCAGCTGGCCGCGCGCCCACCGCCGCGCACCGCCGGGCCGCCCAGGGCTCCCCGCGCCGCGCCTCCGTCCCGCACCGCCCCGGCCGCCGCCGCCGGGAACATCCTCCCCTCGGCCGCTCCTCCCCTCGCGCTCTGCGCCCGCCGTCGCCGGCTCCGCCGCCTCCCCGCGCCGCTGGCGCCGGTGCCCGCGCCCCCGATTGGCCCGCGCGCGCACGCTCCGGGCCCCAGCCAATCGCCGGCCCCGGTAGGGGCGGCGCCTACCGGCGAGGCCGCCAGAGGCCGAGCGATTGTTGACAAATTCGCCTCCGCGCGCTGCGCGGGCCGTGGCGGGGACGACGGCTCCCAGGATCCCGGGCCCCGGCGGACCGGCTGCCTGGCCTGACCCTCTGCCCGTCCCAACGCCGCGCGCGCCTCAGCGGCTCCCGCTGTCCGGAGGAGCTGGCCACTCGGAGACAAAGCCGGAGCCGCGGGCAGTCCTCCGACTCCGGTCCTCGCCGCTGGCCGCCGCCTCCCCCCGCCCCCGCGCAGGTCCGCCCCCTCCCCCGCCGCCGCAGCACTCATCCTTTCCAACTTCCTCCCTCTTCCTCCCGAGTGCCGTGGTCAAGCACCCAAGTCCTAGCGGCCAGCCCGAGGGCAGGGCACCTCTAGCAGCACCGCGAGGAGTCGGGCTGCGCTTAGGCACGCCCGGGTCAGTCGGTAAGACTGCCCGATCGGCCCCCACGGACGGAGCAGGTTTGCTGCCCGCGGTTGTCCAACGTGTGGCCCCGGTGGTGGAGGGAGCCTGGCAGGTCCGCAGAGCGATCGCAGACGAAGTAGGGACCCGAACGCGTCCGAGAGCGTGGACGCAGCGGCTGCCCCGACCCCTCGGCCTGATGTGCACAAGAAAAGCCGAATCCCGTCAGTTAGTCCCCAGCACAGTTCTGCAAATCCCCGGCATCGGGCGCGCACCAAAGACCGGCTCTTGCCGCTCGGCAGCCCGAGAGACTTCCCGGCCCGAGCGCTCAGCTCGTCCGGCGCAGCAGCCGCGGTTCCCGGGCGGCGCGGGGAGCGCGCGCTGCTTCTCCAGCGGCCCAGGACGCCGCACCCCCCCGCACGCCGCATCGCGGTCTGGTCCATAGTTCCACTAAGCGCTAGCAGGCTCCCGCAGGACGACATCTCTCCAAAGCAGACCTGCCGGGGGAAACGACCCGATCCTCTCTTACCGCCGCTTCCCGCCAGGCTACAGGCGGGACTGGTAGTACGTCTGCCACACGTGCGCGGGAAGCGGGCGGGAGGTGGAACGGGTGGCTCCGGCGCCCGTCATCCATGCGTCCCGCCCCCGCCCAGGGATCCCGAGGTATTTACCTTGCGTTTCTCAGTCCGAGAGTCAGAGTCAGACATTGGGGGGGCGCGGGCCAGGGGAAGGCGCCGAGGTGGTGGCGGCGGGGACGGGGTGAACCGAACAGCCCCAGGCAATGCTGGCCTCAGTGGGCAGGGCGCGCCAGACGTGTGAGAGGACTCGGCGGCGGCGGTAGTAGCGACGCGGCTCGGAGCGATCAGAGGAGCTCAGGACCTGTTGGAGGCGCGGAGCGAAGTGAAACCTGCGCGCTGGTGCAGCCCAGCTCCCCGCTCGCGGCCTTGCACCCGCACCCAATCACTGCGGGCCCCGCCCCCGCCAGCCCGCCCCGCCCCGCCCTCCAGTCCCGCCCCTTTTGGCGCTGCCGGCCCGCCCCTCGGCGCTGCGTGCCCTGGGGGCGCTAGCCCAGCAGGTGAAGGCGGGGCTGCCTGCCGGTTCCCGCTGCGCGCGCCGCCGCCGAACACCAGCTCCGAGTGTTTGCCAAGTGACTCAGGCTGCGGGCTGCCGAGAGTGCACCCTCCCCCCACCCCAAGTGCATCTTCGACTCTCTCTCTCTTTCTTTCTCTCTCTCTCTCTCTCTCTCTCTCTCTCTCTCTCTCTCTCTCTCCACCCCGCGCCCCCAGTGCCAGGGAACAGAGGGGGGCGCTCCTGGCACCGTGAGGCCGCTCGCTGCCGCCCGCGGAGTCTCTGGAGGCGGCCCAGAGCTCTGGACTCGCGGCTGGAGTTTCTCTTAGCCGCTCTGGGGCGGGCGCGAGGACGGGTTGTACCCTAGAACGCGCGGGTTCACGGTGGACAGGGGCGCCTCTACGCAATCCCCACTCCCAGAGTCGGATCCTCGGGCGGGACCCGATATTCAGGCCGCTTATCTTCCTCCGTGGCGCCCTGCTCATGCCACCTGCTGGGCTGCCCAGCCTTTCTCCACGCCGGACCTCCGCTAAGCGGTGGGGCCATTGGTGGGCAGAAACCAGGACAGAGCGCCCAGCGATCCCCAAAGCCTCTCTCTGCGGCGCGGTTGCGAGACGGGAAGCGAGCCTGTACCGAGCAGGTAAAATAAGGAAATGAAAAAGTAACTTAAAAAAAATCCTTTTATGAAAAAAAAGAGAGGGAGGGAGGGAGGGAGGGAGGGAGGGGGAGGGAGAGAGAGAGAGAGAGAGAGAGAGAGAGAGAGAGAGAGAGAGAGAGAGAGAGAGAGGGACCAAGAAGAGATCGGCCTCCAGGTGAGAGAGAGGGTGGTGCCTCCGCCCAGTGGGGATCCTCAAAGATTCTTGGGTTCAGGGAGCTGCTGAGACCGGTCGGTGTAGGCGGCCGCGGGGTTCCAACCTGCATGGGGAGGCAGTACCTGCAGCCCCTCTGCCCCTGCGCCTTACTTCTTGGAATCCGAGATCCCAGCTCTCTCCTTCCCGCGCGCCTCCCGTGTTTTTTGGGGTCCGCACCCCCATATGTCCTCCCAGAGCACGTCCTGCGCGCCCCTCCCTGAGCTCCCCAGGCTTGGAGACTCGCGGTTTGGTGTAAGGTCGGTCCAGAGAAGAAATAGCTCTCGCCGTGGGGGAGCCCAGGCTAGGCGGATTAAAGAAATACCATTTAGGGGCCTCTGTAACCAGCACCCGCTGATGGTAAAGGGAGGGTCCTCGGTATTGTCCCGCTCTCTGGCCACTTGGGTCAGTTTTTGTTTGTGAGCAGAAACAGAAGGGCACCCTGACAGCACAGCCCCAGATCAAAGTCTCAGTGCCAACTCCAGTGAGTCCCGGGGGAGTGAGTGTCAGAGGGTTCAGGGGAGTGGGGTGGTTTTTCTGTACACGGGGAGGACAGGCGTGGACGTGGCCAGGTGGAGGCAGAGGCCGGCGGTCTCTCTTGACCGCGATTTGGAGCGTCCGCTCAGGACTGTCGGCGGCAGCCGCGGGCGAGCTTTGCGCGTAACCGCTTGGTGTGGCCCCGGGAACTATTCATAGAACCCGCTCCGCCCGCCAGGAACCCCACCGCTCCCCGCTCCCAGGTGCTCCCGGCCCAGACAAGGCAGGGGCCAGGGGAAAAAAGAAAGAAAGACACACACACACACACACACACACACACACACACACACGCAGAGGGTGTCGCCTGCTCCCGCGCAGCTCCACTGCCTCCTCGCTGCCCGCTCTAGCAGCCCGATGAACACTTAAAAAAACAAAAGCGTGGAGGAAAGCAACCTATTAGGTGCTTTTATCTGACACACAACCTGGAGGTCGGCCAGAAGGCGGCTGTTTAGTTCACCCAGACTGTGCTGGGGAGTTTGGGCGAGGGCCCCACGCCCGTGGCCGGGAGCCCTTCCCGTCCAACCCCTTAGCACCCACAGGTCCCTCTGAGACCGGCCAGGGCAGGGGCGGCGGGAGAAGGGTGCTCGCTCCGCACGGATGGCGCCTTGCGAACTCGGGCGGAGCGGAGCGGAAGGACGGGGAATGACTGGAACAGAAAGGGCCGCGGGGACCTGAGACCCGGGAAATGCGTGGCCCTCGCCAGGGAGGTCTCTCCAAATCCCGAAACCTACTTCCTGTGGTGCATTGCCCGCTCGACCGCCCCACCCTTCGCAAACCTCAAGATAGCCTTAGCGTCGCTTCATTTCTTTATTTAACGTGGTATCTGCGCTTCTAGAAGACATAGTACAGTTGCCCTTGGTGAGAACGTTATCCGCGCGCTGTCCTGCGGCCGGTGCTGCGGGCCAAGGAGGACCGCTGAAACTGGTGCTCGGAGCACTCAGCGCAGGCTCGGGTCCAGCAGCACATTTTCTCGCAGAGGCGGGAGGCTCTGACTCACTGGAGCCTCTGAGCTGAACTTCTGCCCGCGGGTATTTGGTGTCTGTGCTTTGATTCCCCCCCCCCTCCCCCACTCAGCACCACAGTTTTTCAAAATCCCTGGGAATCTTAGGCACCGCTGGCAGCGGGAGACCAAGGGTTGCACCGGCTGTGGGGGTCCAGCTGAAGCTTGAGAGGTGGCATGGGTGGTCGGGGAAAGGGAGTACTGCGTCCACTCCCTTCCAGACAGCCCGGTGAGTCTCGCCAGCCTTGCTCCGTGGCCGGCCTCTGCTCCAGCTCCAGCGTCAGAGAAGCAATGTGGGTGGCTAATGCAAGCGAACCACCATCCTGCCCCTACATCCGCTACAGCCTCGCTCCGGGCTGGGGCCGCCTAGAGTGCGCCCTGTCCTGGGCCTGGGGCCGCTGCAGCGCGGGATAGAATGGCCCGCGGGTGGGCGATGCCAGCGATCTGTGGTGCAGATAGGTGTGTGGAATGTTAAAGGCAGAGATCACCCTCAGGGCATCATCCTTCGCAGAGTCACACAAATCCAGCAACTGCAAAACAGGACACAAAGGATCAGGTCAGATGCTGGCTCATTCACAGTGTCTGGACGCCCACCCCCAAGCAACCATACCCCCAGCAGCCGGATTTCCTGGGACCAGGAGGGTGAATACCTTCGATTTTGAATAATCCTCGCAAGGCTTTTTCATTTTAGAAATTCTTAACAAGGTGACACCTAGTCTGGCAGAAGCCCACTTATTCCTTAAAAGGGTGGGGGTGGACTTCAAATCAGCTGGGAGCTCCAGACCAGAGACAGGATTTATTTCCCCCTCCTCTGCCCACTGCTGCAGCCCTCCTCCTCCTCCACCTCCTCCTCCTCCGGGTCCCCTCCATAGTGCCTGGAGTGCCACCCTCTGGCGCTCACAGGCAAGTGAACTGGTAGAACTTAAGAGTCATTGAACTTCAGAGACCAGCTGGGCTCTCCCCAGCAGCGCTTCCTGCCTCCACCTCCCATGTCTCCCCACACCCCCACCCCCACCCCCACCCCCACCC